AGGTGTGCATTACACTCTGCAGCTCTCTTTCCTCTGAAAATGTTATGAAAAAAGCTACATTCCTGGGATCATTCAACTGACTTCACTGATGCTGCCATGGGATATTTGGAAGCCCTGAATGGGAACTGTCCAATGCAGTTCAGGAGCAGTGGTGAGCAGGGGGTGAGTAATCACTAGGACTGGTTTTATTGCTGACTCTGCCACTCGCTCCCTGTGCAACCTTCTCCTCAGCGTGCTTGTTCACCTCCACATCAACCAGATCTCATAGCGATATTCTGCTCGATGATCAGAGGCTTCCTCAAATCAAAGGACTTCAAAGCACTGCAGACTCATTAGAGTTGTGTGTGTGCACAGGGCTGTATTATTTTAATAGTCGAAGTTTTTTGTGGGATTCGAGGACCCCAGGTTATGGATTAGGATTCAAGGGTTCTCACAACAATTTTTTTGGTGGCCTCTGAGAAACCCGTTTCTCCGTCCCTGCTTCCGGCAGCCCTTCAGCGACAGCCTGCCCTGGGGAAGGTGGGTTGGGAACTCACTGGCCACCTGTGGAGTCCCAGGGCCCCTGTGCCCCAGCCGGGTGGGAGTGGGGGCAATGCCCAGGGGAGCGCCCCGGTGACTTAATGCCTCAGCTGCCTCCACTGACAAGAGCCGCCTGCGGCATCACGCGCACCAGCCCTGCGTGTCTCCAGAGGCATTACCCAGAGCCTGCGAGGAGGCTCCGCGGTGCAGGGCGCCTACCCATGCTGGCAGCACCAGCATGAACACTATGGCGGCGCATCTCGCTGCCCTTGGTAACAGCTATTCAGCGGCAACAGGTGGGTGTTGCAGAGACAGGCCACTGCTTTCCCACCCCATCTCCGCCCATGCTTTGGAGGCTCTCGTGCCCACAAAAAAATCCACGGGTGGCCGCATGCAGGCATGGTGTCCACATTTGAGAAACATTTCCTTAGACTCTCCAGTCTATCTTGCCACTGAGAGAAGCTGGACTTAGTGATAAATGGTCACTTACTTACAGCAGAAAACACACCACATTCAGGTTGCTTCCAGTCCCGAGAGACCGGTCATTCTCCCCAGATCAATTGGTACCTTAGATCTTACATCAGAGCCTGATAAGAAATCATCTCGTTTCCGGCCTAAATTTATTCATAGCGAGTTTATACCCATTAGGGCAGCGTTGGCAGTGTCGTGATTTGACACAGAGAATAACAGATACAAAAGTCTTTGTAAGAACCATCCCCATCTCTGAACCCTCATAGTATAAAGCAGAGACTTGAGCTACTCAGTCACCTGGCCTTCCATTAGCCTCCATGGGAGTTTACAACAGACACTTTGTAAAAAGACACATGGTGAAAAGTAACAGGAGACAAACCATTTAAAAATGATTATTAGTGCTAAAGAGAATGTCACATGATGATGGAAAAGAATCAGAGGAAGAGCTGCTTTCTTCTAACGCTGAACAAGGAACTCTATTTGAAAACAGGACCAAATTCTGCTCTCAGTTACACTGGGGCAAGTTTAAAATAACCCCATTGCAGTTGATGAAATCGCTCAAGAAGCATTTACACTGCCTCAAGCAGCTTCTCTCTCTCTCTCTCTCCTTCACTGCACAACTTCTGTTTAGGACTGTCCCAAGTCCCCTCTTGCCTGGCTTGCTGCTAGTTTTAAAGAAGCAGTACAAGATCCTGACACGTACAGCATCACAGAATCACAGAAATGTAGGGCTGGAAGGGACCTCAATAGGTTACTAGTCTAGTACCCTGCACTGAGGCAGAACTAAGTATTTTCTAGACCAGGGATCTCAAACACATGGCCCACGGGCCACATGCGGCCCACAGAGCTATTTGCTGTGGCCCGCCAAGCTTCCCGTGCCCCCACCCCATCCCCTCCAGTTATTTCCTGTGGCCACCAAGCTCCCCTCCCCCACCACCACCCCAGCGCGCCATATACCCGCTCCTCCACCTACCTCCAGGCGCTTCCCACCGCCAAACAGCTGTTTGGCGGTACTTAGCAGTTTCCAGGAGGGCGGGGGAAGAGTGGGGAGTCATGTGCTCAGGAGAGGAGGCGGAGAAGAGGTGGGGCAGCGGTGGGGATTTGGGGAATGGGTTGGAATAGGGGCAGGGAGGGGGTGGAGTTGGGGTGAGGACTTTGGGGAAGGGGTTGGAATTGGGGCAGGGAAGGGGTGGGGCAGGGCCTCATGGAAGGGGTGGAGTGGGGGTGGAGGCGGGGGCAGCTGGTGGGCGATGTCAGTGATGCAGCTCTCGGGACAATGTATTAGTCTTCATGTGGCTCTCCTGGTAATTTGAGTTTGAGATCCCTGTTCTAGACCATCCCTGACTTCTGCTTGTCTAACCTGTTCTTTAAAATCTCCAGTGATGGAGATTCCACAACCTCTCTAGGCAGTTTATTCCAGTGCTTAACCACCCTGACAGTTAGGAAGTTTTTCCTAATGTCCAACCTAAACCTCCCTTGCTTCAATTTAAGCCCATTGCTTCTTGTCCTATCCTCAGTGGTTAAAGAGCAACTTATCACCCTCCTCTTTATGACAACTTTTCACATATTTGGCAACCGTTACACGTCCCCCCTCAGCTTTCTCTTCTCCAGACTAAACAAATACATTTTTTTCAGTTTTTCCTTGTAGGGGTCATGTTTTCTACACCTTTCATCACTTTTGTGGCTCTCCTCTGGACTTTCTTCAATTTGTCCACATCTTTCCTGCAATGTGGTGCCCAGAATCGGACACAATACTCCAGCTGATGCCTTATCAGAGTGGAGTAGAGTGGAAGAATTATTTCTACTGTCTTGTTTACAACACTCCTGCTAACACATCCCAGAATGATGTTCTGGGTTTTTTTGCAACAGTGTTACATCATCTCAATTCTATATGCCTGCAGAACTTAATGCAAATGAAACTTAATCTCTTGGTACTTAGCATATATATGGGACTTTTAATTTTCAAACTGATGAACAAACATTACTGAACCTACGCTCCTATGTGAGGAAGAAGACCATTAATAACAGATGAGGAAACTAAGGCAGAGATTCAATTACTATTACCAGACTACAAAGAGAGTCAGTGTCAGAGAAAGGATTAGCGCCCAGGAGTTCCTGGATTCTATTCTTGGGCTCAGCGCCCTGGAAGTGTCTGTATTGTGTTTTGCTTAAGACGATCAAGAATTTTCACGCATTAGTTGTCTGTCTCTCCAGACAGGGCAGCCATTCAAATGATGACTACGAGATTATACACTCTGGAAAGCCAAGAAAAGAATTGTTTCTGTGTTTGATGGAGTCAGAACAAAACCCTCAATTTCCCACCATGTTGAACTCTGTATCAACAGTAACCATAAGGAAACTTTTCTAAACTAACATGAGCTGACAGTGTCACAACCTTGACTCTCAATATTTGGGTTTCAATCAGGCACTTGACAAAGTGCTACAAATGGCAACAAACCTTTCAGGAAATGGGAGGGGAAAAATCCCACAGTCATTGAAGATATTGTTGCAGGGATTAGAAAGCGGATGGTAAACAAGGAATATATAAAGGGTAAGACCTCCAAGTGGGAGAAGTATCACGTTGCAACAGACCTTTAAGGAAATTGGATCAAAGCCAACTGCAGTATGTTAAGGCCTGAGCCAAATCCAACTGAAGTCAGTCGCAAGCCTCCCATCAACTTCACTGGGCTTTGGATGTGGTATTTTATAGGTAATCTGGAAGAAGGTGTAAACTGAATTGGGATCAGATTTGCTGACAATCCCCAATCAGAGCGGTGGCAAAGACACAGGGGGCAGAACCAAACTCTGGGGAGACCTGGGGAGACTGGGACAATGGGCTGCAGGCAAGAAGGGGTGATTCTGAACCCGCCATTTAAAAGCTATACCATTATTTCATGTGCTTTCTTGCCAGTCTTGAAAAACCAGCCCTGCCTCCTGAATCAAAGGAGATTTGGCGTATCAAGCTATTCCTAACTCTTCCACTGTAATGAAAAGGGAATTAGCAAAGCCAAATCCATCTCACAGCCTTTATTCATACAATAACATCCCCGACCCCTAAATATTCCGAGCATGTCAGGACTTAACAGGTCTCTGCAATAACAGGGTGCGTGGCTGAGGAAATGCAATACGAAACGGGCCCTGCAGGAGACGATGGTGTCTAGATCTTCATCACTCATTCTGGATTCAGCTTTTTCCTCTTTATGGAGCAGGAAGGCATTCTCGGTGGAGCACCCTCCACTGTGCTTCTGGCCTCTTCTGGCCGCCCATCACAGCTTGAGTTGACTGATCATCAGAGCATGAGGCAAGGCCCTTCTTTTTGGACAAGCCATTCTGCCCCAGCTGGCCGTCGCTGAGCCATGGACCATTTTCTGGGCTCAGAACTGTGGCTGGAACTACTTCTGCTGCCCTGAGCTGCCAACCTCATGTGGCTTCCTCGCTTCAATTACCTCTCCAGCAGCCATAAGGGGGCGGAGCGGTGTTCCCAGGATGATGACAGTAGGGCCACCAGTCCCGCCAGAGGCCGCAGATCTTTCTTCCACAATCACAGCACCCCCTACCGGCTCCTCCTCCTCCTTCTATTGGAAGGCTGTTCCAGCACCTCCCACCTCTGGTGGTTAGAAACCTGCTTCTCAATTCCAGCCCAAGTTTACTCACAACCAGTTTCTCCCCATTTGTTCTTGACCCACTCCGGGTGATCTGATGCGTCTGCTGAGGGTTCTGGGTGCAGCCCCATGCAGCACCCGTTGTATTAATCCCACAGGACTACAGGGCTACAGGAAAGGAGCCCATGGCAAGGCCCGCAGCAGAGGAAAAGATCGGTGTCGCTTTCCACGCAAGAGTCTGAAAGTAGCACTGTTCTTTCCACTCCCTGGGGGTCCAGAAGATGCCAAGACTGCACCCCAGTGGAAAAGGGGATGAATATCAACCCCCGAGAGTGACTGGCAGGCACCACCTAGCCCATTCCTCTAGTGCTTCACCCAGCCAGCCAGCATTGCTTCTGTCCGCTCCACTCACACCCAAACCCCAGCCTTGGCCAGGTCCTGGGAAAGCAGAGAGACAGCCGTCGGGGATGGACCCCAAGAGCGTGTAGAGCTGTGCTGCATGCACGTAAACACTGGACCCCTTCCTCAGCATGTCATTCACTCAGATGTTGGCTCGCAGTGTTGGGAATGTACCGGTTCTGGCAGAGACATGCCTGAAGTCCCTGAAGGGAGGATGTACGTTTAGTATCTCAGGAGTGCCCCCAGTGAGCCGGCTGCCTTCCTGGCCAGTGGGTCTACAAAGCCCTGGAGAGTTTATAACTGAAACGGACAAAGCTCATCAAGCTCCGGGTCTGGGGTGGTATTTTTCATGAGCCTCACTCTGTCCTGTACCGACTTGGAAGAGGGAGTGGAATCTACTAAACCAACTCAAAGCCAGTGCGCCCCTCCCCAGCCCCCCGCTTTGGGATGCCCCCTTCCCTCTGCGTCTCAGCACTGCTTTCCTCCTCCTCACGGCTGCAGTGACGCTTCTTCTGCCCAGCCCTAATGGCATTCACCCATTGGCTCCAATGATGCTTTTTCCACCAGCATGAGCCCTCCCCAGGGAAATTGATACTCCCTTCTCCTAACCTCAGTGATTCCCCCTTCCACTTTGCCCTAGTCCCAGTGCCCCACCCCTTCCCATCTCCTAAATTCGGGGACTGGATTGCAGAGCATTGTGATGGGATCCTACACCAGCAGCTGACATTTGAGTGGCCCGTGAGCTCTGGCTTCTCTGTTAAAAGTAAAGTTGGGCAAATTATCTGCAGAAAATAATTTATGAGATGAAGTTTTCCCTTCTTGGTCTGGAAATAGCCACAGGGAAAAAAGTTGTTCGGCAAAGACTTTGGGCTTGCCTCTAACCAGAGCAGATGCAGAGGGCCAGGTAACAGGTGATCGGAAGAAAGGACAGCACGTGGGGAACTCGATCCCTGATTAACAAGAGCACCACCGTGTGGCTGCCAGGTTACTCCAGACCAAAAACCTGCAACCAGGGCATCATCTCTGACTCCATCCTCTTCCCCACCTCACAGAACCAAACCACGTCCAAATCCTGCCAATTCTTCCTCCGTGACATTGCCAAGGTCTTATGTTTTCCCTCTGCCCACAGAGCACCAGCTCTTCTCACCTTCGCCTCCTTCTGCTTTCATAGCAGCAGCCTCCTCCCCTCTGGCCTCCCTGAAGCTCGCACTGTGTCTCCCCCTCAGGCCCATTGTTCTGCCCCCTGCCTCTGTTTCCCCTTCTCCACCACCTCAGTTAAGCTTCTTGTCTTCTCCTCTGTGGCCCTTCACAGCTCTGCTCCCGCATGCTTGTCCATGCTTGTAGCTTATTGCATCATCTCCAACACACACAAACACACACACACACACACACACAAAGACACCAGGTCACAACCCCCCCCACACACACACGCACACACCCCGCAACACATCCACCACCCACTTCTCCCCAAAAGCAACGTTGCAGGGTGGGCGCTGCACGGGCACAGAGAGGAGTAGGGTAGCAGTGAGGTAAGTGGGGAAGCTGGGATTGTAAAATCCTTTGTGACTAGACCCTACTGAAATTTGGTGTTTCTTTTCCAGGTCTTCTGTGGGAGCACAAGTTCTCTACGATGCAAAAGACGCTTGTGTGTTTTTTATACAAGGAATGTCCCATGCTAAGGATTGTATTACAAAACACTACTGTCTCTGCAAGAAGAACAAGTGAGCAAGGTGGCGTCTGATGAAATTGGAAATGATTTCTCATGCCCTGGAGAATTAAACTGGATTCCCTGCTCTGATAGCCCTCTTATTTCAGAGAACTACAATTAAATTATTTGTAAATACAATAAATAAAAGTTTCTTAACTTAAAGTAGGTGCAGTGTGTGTGTTCTTGTATATTTCCTTCTGTTCCTTTCCTTTGACTTTTTTCCATCTCTTATTCCCACCTTCATTCCACTATCATTTATCAGTGTTGATAAATACAAAGTAATGCACATTGGAAAGCATAATCCCAACTATACATAGAAATGATGAGGTTTAAATTAGCTGTTACCACTCAAGAAAGAGATCTTGTAGTCATTGTGAATAGTTCTTAGAAAACATCCACTCAATGTGCAGTGGCAGCCAAAAAAGTGAACAGAATGTTGGGAATCATTAAGAAAGGGATAGAAAATAAGACAGAAAATATCATATTGCCTCTATATAAATCCATGATACGCCCACATCTTGAATACTACGTGCAGATCTGGTCACCCCATCTCAAAAAAGATAATTTGGAATTGGAAAAGATTCAGAAAAGGGCAACAAAAATGATTAGGGGTATGGAACAGCTGCCGTATGAGGAGAGATTAATAAGACTGGGACTTTGTAGCTTGGAAAAGAGACAACTAAGGGGAGATATGATTACGGTCTATAAAATCATGACTGGTGTGGAGAAAGTAAATAAGGAAGTGTTATTTACTCCTTCTCATAACACAAGAACTAGGGGTCACCAAATGAAATTAATAGGCAGCAGGTTTAAAACAAACAAAAGAAAGTATTTTTTCACACCTTGGCTGCTAGTTTGCACTTCCTCCTATGTGCTCCAGGCAGGCTTCATGAGCCAGCCTCCAGCTGTTTCATGAGCCTGCTGATTAACCGTTTCCTTCCTGCTCCAAACCCTGACCTAGAGTGTTGGGACTTTCTGAGCCAGTCATTCTCCCACCACTTCCAGGACCCAGATGAACAGCATGTCTCATCATGAATGGACTTGACAATGATGGTACCCTACAACAGTGGCTCTCAACCTTTCGAGACCACTGTACCCCTTTCAGGAGTCTGATTTCTCTTGCATATTCCTAAGTTTCACCTCACTTAAAAATTACTTCCTTAAAAAATCAGATATAAAAATACTAACATGTCTCAATAGACTATTCCTGACAAATGGCTGACTTTCTCATTTTTACCATAGAAATATAAAATAAATCAATTGGAATATAAATACTGCACTTACATTGCAGGTATAGTATATAGAGCAGTAGAAACAAGTCATTGTCTGCATGAAATTTTAGTTTGCACTGACTTCACTAGTGCTTTTTGCATAGCCTGTTGTAAAACTAGGCCAATATCTAGATGATTTAATGTAACCCCTGGAAGACCTTTGTGTACCCCCAGGGGTATGCATGCCACTGCCCTAGAAAACCTTAGCTCAGTAGGCAGGCAGGCAGACAATCACAGCCCTCTAGCATGAGCCAACCAATCCCTCAGCCTACTGATATCAATGTATTAAACCATTAGGTCAAATATTAGTAGGGGAGAGAGAATAAAAACCATAGTTTTACCAGTTCTCCTTGAGAGTCCATCTTAACGAGTTTGGCACCCTGCTTCTTACAATGCTCTACACACTCTGGCCACTTTGCACTCATATTGGAGAAAAGGTAGCAGGTGTTACCATGCTGCACCCAGGTGTCCAGACAGGAGTCGCATCTGCTGCCTTGGAAGACAAAACACAGCTGGTGGAGTTCTCCCTTTCCGGACGGCTTGGGTGTGCTACAGTGTCTTGTGTGGTGTGTGTAGGTCGTTTACCAGAAGAACGCATCCCAGGCTGTCTGGCTACATGCTGGGATGGATCCTACCTCAGGTCACTTGCTCCCCATCTGTATTTGGTTGTTTTGTTAAAGGGGGCACCCCTGCCCTCAGCTCATCCCTCACCTTTGCCTTCTGCCTGCTTCTTCACTGAATCTTTGATCTTCTGGCTCTGTCCTTGGAGCATCGCCATCTTTCTCCTTGTTGCTTCCAAAACATGCAAATCTGAAATACACAGGGACAGATAATGCCAAATGCACCCTGTGAAACTAACGATGCAGCATGGGTATGGGTCATTTGAGTGAAATCTTTGTCCTTTACGCTTTGACAGTGAAGCCGCGAGATATGTCTTTGAACATTTCACATTCTTCTGGGCACTTGCAAAGACCAGAAAGGAAGGAAAGTGTGTTTCTCAAAACTATATTAGCCATCTGCCTGTGTTAGGGCAATGAAGAGCTAGAGAGATGGAAAGGGGAATGGATGCCCATGGAATTGGAGAAGCCATTACAGGGGGCTGATCATGCCTCACCCTTCATATATGGATCTCCCCCACCCATGAGGAATGGGGAGCAGCCCAATTTGCAGCAGCATTTCCTGGAACCCTGCAGAGGGCTGTCTGACAGTCTGAGAATCTATGCAGGAAAGGGCACTGGTAGGGCCGTGGAAGCACTGGGTGATCTGGAATGGAGAGATGCACATCATCCTCCCACAACAGCCCTCAGGAGTTCCCCAGATAAAAACAATACAAAGGCCAGATTACTGCTCCACAGCTAGTAGGGAACCCCCTTTTCATGGGGGGCGAGGGAAAGCCGCTAGGGAGTCGGATGACAAAGCCAGTATGGGGGCACGTGAAATAACATGCTCCTGGTGAAATCAGGGTCTCCAGCAGATACTCACACTTGCCAATCAAGCCCAGCAGTACAATGAGCAACACCAGGCTACAGACCCCCAGAATCAACGTCATCAGCCGCCAGTGATGAGGCCTGAAAGGAACTTCTAGTGGAAAGGAAAGGGGAAGACAAGAGTCAAGCACCACTCCTGAGACTCTGAGCCTGATTCTCAGGGCAGAATCAAGCTCCCAAAACCAGAAGTAATCAACCAGGGCTGAAAACTCCCTTCAAAAACACCCCCAGCTTGTGGGATGCTCCATAAACGCTGGTATCTCCACGTGTAGACATCAGGGCCAGGTTAGCCGATAATACCAAAACTCTAGCCAGGGTTCTCCCAGGCTAGGGGGCCCTACCACTGCAGCAGAGTGTTTCCTGCTCTCTCGCCAATGCCGTACAGCGTGATGGATGAGCTGCTCCACGTTGAATTCCCTCCTCCATCTGGGAGAAGTAAGGGGAAGGCTGGGGCAGGGAGATTGCATTGCAATGGCTCTGGAAGCTGGTTAAGGGTATTATCAGGGCCCTCAACATTGCTTGGGCCAACCCTGGAGACAGCATCCTTTGTTTATCCCAAGATGTGCCCTGCCAGTTTGGATCAGCCTCCCTGTACCGAAGGGCTGTTAATTCTCCATGATCCACACAATCCATGGCCTCTCCACTGAGGGAGCCAGTTAGTGCCAACTGTAATGCTGTTCTCTGGGATGAGGGCAGACTGCCCCACTGGAACCAGGAGAGACTCCCCATCAGTTTACTGCACACAGGCCAGCGAGCCACCATCGGAGGGCTGTGAGGAATCTCTACATTCAACTGTGACACTGGGGACAATGGGCAGGATCTGGCAGACGGGGTGTGCTTTTGGGCGGCAAAAGCCAGGAGATCTTAGGGCAGCAGGTTCCATTCCTCCCCTGGTCACAGCCCCTTTTTCTGTTCAATAAGGGACAATTTCCAGAGAAACATGGAGACTCCATTGCCAGGCCACAAATCATGTGGACAGTAAAAGAACGCCCTGCCCCTGCATCCCTGCTTCTTTCTGGGCTTCGGTGCACCCCCCTCCCCCGCCCAGGCTTCATGAGGGGACGTTGACAGGCCCCTCAGCACCATGCACATAAATCACATTTGGTGCCTAATGCTTGAGGATGCCCTGGACAAACCTCCAAGCCCCAGCAGCCAGAGGGCTTGTCTACTCTTGAAATGCTACAGAACTGCACTGCCCAGCCATAGCACTTCAGTGTAGACACTGCCTATGCCAGCAGAGGGGCTCTCCCATTGCTGTAGTTAATCCACCTTCCTGACAGGCAGTAGCTAGGTTGACAGAAGAATTCTTCCATCAGCCTAGTGCTGTCTACACTGGGGGTTAGGTCGGCTTAACTACGCCACACAGAGGTGGGGATTTTTCACATCCCTGAGTGACATAGTTAAGCTGACTGAATTTTCTAGTGTAGACCAGGCCTGAGTCCTCATGGGAGTTGCTGCTGTGATGTAAAATCCCCATGCTCTTCACATACTTACTGCCAAAGGGGAAGACGGGCTTCTTGGGGGCCTCTTGGCTGGCCCCTCCCTCCTGGGGCATCTCCTGTTTGCCTTCCCCATTCTTGGGGGCCTCCTGCCTGGCTTTTCCCTTCTTGTGGGTCTCTGGGATGATCTCTCCCTTCTTGGGGACCTGCTGCCTGGCTTCTTCCTTCTTGGGGGCCTCTTGCCTGGGTTCTCCCTTTTGGGGGGCCTCTGGGCTGGCCTTTCCTTTCTTGGGGGCCTCCTGCCCAGATTCTCCACTCTTTGGGCGTTCTTGGCTGGCCTCCTCTTTCTTGGGAGCCTCTGGCCCAGCTTCCCCCTCCTGGGCAGCCCCTGGGCTGGCAGCCCCCTCAGCCACTGGGGCAGGTTTGATTTTTGCCTGTTTCGATAGCATTTTCTCCCTATTTGGCCTCTTAAGTGGCAGGAGCTGAAACCAGGAACAACCCAGCACAGGGGCTCCTCAGAAAGGGATGGGGACAGTGGTGCGTGGGTGGGAACCGGGGGAGCTCAGGCTGTGACCATGTCAGGAGCCACACAACGTCTCCTCACCCCCCCCGCCCCCACCAACACCCACCAGGCACCCTTTACCCTGAAACACCCAGCGGGGGTCCTCTGCCCCTCCGATGCCCCTTGTGACCTCGTCCTCCCCTCACCAGGCCGTGCTGCCCCCGCTCCCCCCAACGGGCTGCGTTGTTCTGAGGATCGGGGCCTGGCGAGGCCGGGCAGGGGCAGTGGGGGGCGGCTGCCCTCGGTTCCCACAGAGGCCGAGCTGCCCGGAGCCCTCCCAGGCGGTGCCCAGCCAGGAGCCCATGGGTAGCCACCCGCCCAGCCGCCCCTTAGCGCCCAGAGCCGGCTGGGACCGTCCTGCCCCCGCAGGGCTCACCACAGCCCCCATGGCTCTGTTACCAGCTGGGGCCGCCCTCCTTGGCCCGCCACAGCCCATTGCGGGGGGGTGGGGGGGGCTCAGCATGGCCCCCCCCGGATGCTCCTGGAGCAACGAAGCAGCGACGTGGCCTGAATCTCTGCTCGCCCGGCCCGGGGAAATCCGGAGCCAGGCCATGGCAGCCAGGGGAGCGGCCGCTCCAGACGCACAGCTGGCTGGCGAGAGTCACCCCGGGACTCGACCCCTGCCCTGCCCTGCGCCTGGCTGCCTGGCTGGGGCAGGATCCCGCCCGGCTCCATCCACACACCCTAGTCCTCGATGGGGGGACCCCCCTGGCCCTCGGGTGCTGAACGCAGAGGGCCCAGCCACATGGCTGAGCTCAAGGCAGCGGGCTCCACCCGCCGAACAGCCCCGGGGCCGCCTGGGCGTGTGCTGCCATAGCCCACGGCAGCGAGCGCCCCTCTGCCGGCCTCCCGATGGCCATGGGGCACTGCCAGGCTGTGAGCCCGCAGCTGGGGGCTGCCAGGGGGTGGCGCCAGGGGTGTCCCATGGCGCCAGGGCCATGGAGGCGGGAACCCCGTATTGCCACCTCTCCTGGTCCTGCTGCCCCTCTAGCGCCCGGGGGGGGGGTTAATATGTTGGATGAACACAGGAGGAAAACTTGCTCATTTCCCCTGATTCAAAATGGCTGCCACCTCCCATTGCTGTCCATGGGGCTGAAGCCAGCACGGCGGCCGCCATTTCTCTCTGGGCCGGCGGCAGGGGGCCCGTGGAGCTGCCCTAAGCAAAGATGGCCGCCATCTCCCCTTGTTTTCCATGAGGTAGAAGCCAAGATGGCCTCCCCTGCGTGGGTCGGGGGCCGGACTGGGAGTGGGCGCAGGACTCGGCTGCGAGGCGCTTCAGAGAGAGACCCTGGGAAAGGTGGATGGGAAGAGTGAGGGGGTAGCAGGGGGCAGGGGATGTGGGGGGTAGGAGGGAGGCGGAGGGAGGGGACAGGGGATGTGGGGGTAGGAGGGAGGCAGAGGGAGGGAGCAGGGGATGTGGGGGGTAGGAGGGAGGCGGAGGGAGGGGGCAGGGGATGTGGGGGGTAGGAGGGAGGCGGAGGGAGGGGGCAGGGGATGTGGGGGTAGGAGGGAGGGGGCAGGGGATGTGGGGGAAGGAGGGAGGCGGAGGGAGGGGGACAGGGGATGTGGGGGGTAGGAGGGAGGCGGAGGGAGGGGGCAGGGGATGTGGGGGGTAGGAGGGAGGCTGAGGGAGGGGGACAGGGGATGTGGGGGTAGGAGGGAGGGGGACAGGGGATGTGGGGGTAGGAGGGAGGCTGAGGGAGGGGGCAGGGGATGTGGGGGGGTAGGAGGGAGGCGGAGGGAGGGGGACAGGGGATGTGGGGGGTAGGAGGGAGGCAGAGGGAGGGAGCAGGGGATGTGGGGGGAAGGAGGGAGGCGGAGGGAGGGGGACAGGGGATGTGGGGGTAGGAGGGAGGCGGAGGGAGGGGGCAGGGGATGTGGGGGAAGGAGGGAGGGGGCAGGGGATGTGGGGGGAAGGAGGGAGGCGGAGGGAGGGGGACAGGGGATGTGGGGGAAGGAGGGAGGCGGAGGGAGGGGGACAGGGGATGTGGGGGTAGGAGGGAGGCTGAGGGAGGGGGCAGGGGATGTGGGGGTAGGAGGGAGGCTGAGGGAGGGGGCAGGGGATGTGGGGGTAGGAGGGAGGGGGACAGGGGATGTGGGGGGTAGGAGGGAGGCTGAGGGAGGGGGCAGGGGATGTGGGGGTAGGAGGGAGGCGGAGGGAGGGGGCAGGGGATGTGGGGGTAGGAGGGAGGGGGACAGGGGATGTGGGGGTAGGAGGGAGGCTGAGGGAGGGGGCAGGGGATGTGGGGGTAGGAGGGAGGCGGAGGGAGGGGGCAGGGGATGTGGGGGTAGGAGGGAGGGGGCAGGGGATGTGGGGGTAGGAGGGAGGGGGACAGGGGATGTGGGGGTAGGAGGGAGGCAGAGGGAGGGGGCAGGGGATGTGGGGGTAGGAGGGAGGCAGAGGGAGGGGGCAGGGGATGTGGGGGTAGGAGGGAGGTGGAGGGAGGGGGCAGGGGATGTGGGGGTAGGAGGGAGGCGGAGGGAGGGGGCAGAGGATGTGGGGGTACTGCCAGGAACTGCCGTGATGGTGCAAGAGGCTGGATCTCCCAAATGTCAGGGCTGGGTACACGGATAGAGCTGGGCAGGAACCTTAGGGCTGAGGATGCAGACCAGCCCTGCCTTCATATATGGTCCTGGAGCAGAGAGAGGGTCCCGGGGCAGCAAGAGGCAGGGGAGAGGGAAGTTGAGAAAGTGGTGATGTGGGACCCAGTCAGAGGAAAAGCCCTGGGGCAGTGGCTGGTACATTAGATTAATAGATTGCAAGGCCAGAAGGGACCACTGTGATCGTCTAGTCTGACCCCTGTATAGCACAGGCCACAGAACTGCCCTACAATAATTCCTAGAGCAGATATTTGAGAAAAACGTCCAATCTTGATTTAAAAATCATCAGTGATGGAGAATACCGCACAACCCTTGATAAATTATTCCAATGGTTACTTACTCCCACTGTTAAAAATTTACCCCTTATTTCCAGTCTGAATTTCTCTAGCTTCAACTTCCAACCATCAGATCATGTTATGCCTTTGTCTGCTCGATTGAAAAGCCCATTAGTAAATACTTTTCCCCTGTGGAGGTAGTTTATAGACTGTGATCAAGTCAATCCTTAACCTTCTCCTGGTTAAGCTAAATAGATTGAGATCCTTGAGTGCTGGTGCCGGGTCGAAGACAGCAATAGGAAATGGATGGCAGTTTCCCTATCATAGAGGTGAGGGATGCTAAGCGGGGTCTCCATCCAATCAGGCAAAGAGAGGCGTGCATTTCTGAATGCATTAAAGGTTGACTTTTCAACCTGAAATTGTCGCATACATTGGCAAAGGAATAGAAACAGACTAAAAAACACTATTTGATTTTTTTTTAAGAAAACATGATTTCTTGGGCCAGTTTCATGATTCTTGAGGGTCTGACGCATGACTTTTGATCTCTTGAGGTGAGACCCTCTCCTGTTGGTGGGTTCTCTCACCTGCAGGCCCCCATGCCTGTGCAGCAGAGGAAGGTGAAGGGCACTCCATCTGACATAAATGTCATCTACGAGTCCAAGGATGAAGGGACAGCCAACGCGCAAGCCGGACCAGCTGCTGTCATTGCAGGTGCAGGGGTCTCCTCCCACAGCAAGGGGAAGGGTGACCCAACCACTCAGCCTCCTTTCTCCCCCTTCGCCCCTGAGACGGGTGCCCTGACCCCCTCCCTGGTCTGTGCCCAGCCTTGCCAGACCCTACCTGCCAAACGCCTCCCTCTTCTCATGTGACAATGGTGAAGAATAACAGAAAGAGGTTCTATCGCAATAAGGGAAATAGGGTGATCCCTAAAGCTCCTCTGCCTCTTTCACTGCAGAGTGGCTCCCCACAGCCTTCCCAGCCCCACTCCTGCCTGGCCCACCCTGATCTCTAGGACCTATGCTCCTGTCGACACTGCATCCTATCTGCCTCCTTAATCCACTGACCAGGGCCAGAATTGGCAGGGAGGCTGCCTGGAGATGTGATCAAGGAGGATTTCTGCTGGAGGATAGTATGGAGGTGCCCCTGTCTGGGGAGATCAGGAAAGGTTTCTGTCAGGAAGTCACCCCCATTTTGCTGGGTTCTATGGCTGCAGGCTGCCTTACCTGGACAGCTAGGACACAGCACACAAGGATTCCCTGCGCCATCCAAGAGGCAGGTAGCCGGGTGCTGGAAGACCATGAAAAGAGGGCACCTTGGCTGCCAACCTGTTTAACTTAGTTGTGTAGGACAAGGTCGTTATTATTAACGTAGCTCCTAGAGGCCCACCCAAGCTCAGGGCCCCATTGTGCTGCTGCTGTATGAACACAGTGGGAGAGAGTCTCTGATCTGAAGCGCTTAAATAGACATGTGGGAGAAAGGCAGTATCGTTATCCCCATTTTACAGACAGGGAGCTGAGGCACAGAGAAGAAAGGCCAGGTTCACAAAGGGGCTTAGGGCCTAACTACCTTTTCAGCCACCTGAGTCCAATATTTAGGTGCTCCTGATGTTCTCAGAACCACTGCTCAGCTGCTGCCTAACCCAGAAGGTACTTAAGTTTACTAGGTACCTATGTTTCTGCTGGTAGTTGGCTTTGCTTATGCCTAGCTCATGGCACTGCCCCACAGCGAATGAGCTGCTCAGAGCCCTAGCTCAAGCCAAAGCCCTGGGAGCCCTGAAACAAGATTCTCAAACTAAATGTTCCTCCATCTGTCTCACTAGTGGGGCATGGTCCCCCTCAGTGCATACCTATGGCTTGGAGCCTGCACAAAAGACAGCCAGGTGTGTGTGTGTCCCAGAATACCCAGTAGCCCAGTGGATAGGGCACTCGGCTGGGATGTGAGAGACTCTTGAACCCAGGTCTTCCACATCCCAGGTGAGAGCCTTAAACACCAGCCTATCCGGGGGGGGAGATGCAGCTGCTCTCACAATCCCTTTCCATTTGTGTAAATAAATAACTATTTATTGGAGCAGGGACTGAACCTGACTCTCCCCCATCCCAAATGAGTGCCCAAACCACCAAGAGTCAGTCTCTCACTTTCCCTGGCCCAATGAATATTTAGTGATTTGTACCACATGGAATAGTTCCAACATACAAGACTGGGAGAGCCTCACCTCCGAATAGCCAACAGCCTAGCATTTGGGGCATTCACCTGGCTTCAAGCATCTGCTCCAAATCAGGCAGAACAGGAATTTAAATCTGGGTCACCCACATCCCAGGTGGGAGCCCCTACCACTAGGCTATTGGCTTAGGCACCTAACTCCAGAAGAGGGTTCCCAGCTGAGGATCCCAAGCAGAAGGAAGTGCATGTTCATGTTCTCCATTTCCTTCCTGTTAGCATCTCCCAGTGCATCTCCATGGTGGCTCTCTACCACCATCCTTGGGCCAATCTGCCTGATCTTGCTGATTCTGGTGATCATGATGACTCAACAGGGTGAGTGTTTCATAATTCATAGATTATAAAGCCAGAAAGGACCATTCTCATCATCTGATATGATGTCCTGTAGAACACGGGAGTAACTGAATTAATTATTTTTGAACTACAGCAGATCTTTTAGAAAAAAAATCCAATCTTGATTTCAAAATTGTCAGTGATTGAAAATCCACCATGGCCCTTGGTAAGTTGGGCCAATGGTGGTTTACCCTCCCTGTCGGAAAACTGAGGTTCTAGCCAGAATTTGTCTAGCTTCTATTTCTAGACATTGGGTCTTGTTATACCTTTGCTACATTGAAGAGCCCTCTAGTATTAAATTTCTGTGCCCCATGTAGATATAGACTGTGATCAAGTTACCCTTTAACCTTGTCTTTCTTAAGTTAAATAGACTGAGCTCCTTAAATCTATCACAGTATAATGCAAGTTTTCCAATCCTTTAATAATTCTCCTGGCTCATTTCCTGAACCCTGTCCAGTTTTCAAAATCCTTTCTGAATTTTGGACACCAGAACTGGGCACAGTATTGCAGTAGCACTCGCACCAGTACCAAATACAGAGATAACAGAACCTCCCCAGTCCTACTCAGAATTCACTTGTTTATACATCAGAGAATCACATTAGCCCCTTTTGGCCACAGTGTCACACTGGATGCTTATGTTCAGCTGACTGTCCACCATGACCCTGAAATCTTTGTCAGGGTCTTACGTTTGGCCATATTAAAACTCATATTGTTTGCTTGTGTCCAGCTTGCCAAATGATCCAGCTTGCTCTGGATCAGTGACCTGTCCTCTTATTCATTTACTGCTCCCCCAGTCTTTTTGCCTTTTGAAAACTTTATCAGTGGTGATTTTCCATTCTCTTCCAGGTCACTGATGAAAATGTTAAATAGTGTAGGGCCAAAACCCAATCCCTGCGGGAACTCACTAGAAACACACCTGCTTGATGATGATTCTCTGTTTACAGTTACATTCTGAGACCTATCTTTTATCCAGTTTTTAATCCATTTAATGTGTCCTATGTTAAATTTATATTCTAATTTTTAACAAAAATGTCATGTAGTATCAAGTCAAATGCCTTACAAAAGACTGAATATATTATGTCAACACTGTTGCCTTTATCAATCAAACTTGTAATCTCATCACAAAAAGATACCAATTAATTTGACAGGATCTGTTTTCTATAAACCTGTGTTGATTGGCATTAATTATATTACTCTCCTTTTAATACTTTATTAATGGGGTCCCGTATCTGCTGCTCCACTATGCTGCCTGGAATTGATATCAGACTGACAGTCCTATAACTATGCAGGCCATCCTGTTTACTTTTTTTAAATATTGGCACAACATTAGCTCTCTTACTGTCTTTGGGAACTTCTCCAGTGTTCGAAGAATTATTGAAAATCACCATAAATGGTCCAGCCTGCTCCTCAGCCAGTTGATTTAAAAATGTCTGTCTTAGTAGCTATTATTTGGATAATAATATTTGGAATGGAAGGAGTGTCATCATCATGATCTGGTATGAGTACATCTATTTCTTCCCAAATATACAACAGAAATATTTACTGAACACTTCTGCCTTTTCTGCATTATTAATTCTATCATTTCAGTCTAGTAATAGACCAATCCCATTGTTAGGATACTTTTTGTTACAAATATATTTTTAAAAGTTCTATTGTACTTAATTATGCTGACCATTGATGTCTCCTGGTGCCCCTTTGCTTCCCTTATCAGTTTTCTACAGTTCCTAATTTGTGATTTATATTCATTATTGTTGACTTCCCTTTTCTTCTGCTTATTATGTATTGAAGGTTTTTATAGCTGCCTTCATAACCTCTCTAAAAAAGGCTGGTGTTTTAACCAGCATGGCCTTCTTCCCTGATTGTGGCATAGTGATTTTGGGGCATGTAGTAAAGAGTTCTTAAACACTTCCCTATTACCATTCACATTTTTTGATTAGGTTCTTCCTCCCAGCTGATTTGGCTCATAATTATTTTCAGTTTTGTGAAATTGGCCCTTTTGAAGCACTAAGTATCTATATTACTGGTTTGGACATTATTCTGTTTGCACATTATAAATTTGATCAGGTCATGATCACTTGTGTGTAATCAACTACTTATTTTTATTTCTGTGATCAGTTCATCTTTATCTGTCAAGACAAATACAGACTGCTTCTGTATTGGCTGCAACACTTTTTTACTTAGAAAATTGTCATCTATATTATTTAGAAATCCAGTAATGTTTTAGTACTGATCCAGTGATGTTTTAGCATCAGACCGCCATCACATGTCACTGAAATTGAAGTCCCCGGTGATCACACAGCTTTTTCCCCCCTACATATTATAGTTAGGTATGTGAGGATCCAGTCATCCTCTTCTCCCTAACATGATTTGCTGGTCTGTAGCAGACACCAACTAACACTCATCTTATGCTTTATCTGATAGGACATTGATCCATAACTATTCAGTCCTCCATCAGCCATTCTTTTATTTTGACCAGGATTGACATCAAGTTGACAGGGCAATATAATTACCCGGATCATCCCATTTACCCATTTTAAATATTGGCACAACTTTCATTTTCTTCCAGTTCTCTAGAACTTGCCCAGTATTCCAAGACTTATTGAGAATCAACATTAATGGTCCAGAGCTTGCTCTTCTAAACCCATTTGATCCAAGTAATCCAGACCTGCTCATTTTAGAATGTCTGACATTAGTAGCTACTATTTAACATCCTCCTGAGTTACTGTTGGAATGCAAAGTATTTACTCATCATCATCATCATCATCATCAGACTATATTATCTGAATTTTCTCAAATAGAGAACAGAATATTTGACCGCTGTCTTTTTTGCATTTCACTTGTTAATCTGTAATGTAAAGTGATTATTCAGCCCCATCTTTCTTACTCAATCTTCCAACTGCTGCTTTCCATGGGGCTGGGGATTTATCAGTTACTTGTAAGACATGGCTCAAGCCCCGTCACTTGTACACTGCACAGTCCTCCCCCCGCAGGACACTTACAGGTGACAATGAACGATGGACTGAGTTAGAAACAGAGGAGGAACTGGCAGTTTGTGGGGCCCTCACGGGAGTAACATTCACCACCTCATTTGTGACCCCTCATGCCAATGAGCCCCTCAGGCTCTAGCAAGCTCTGTGGCCTCTGATGTCCCCGTCTGTGAACCTGGAAGCCAGGAATCAGTCCTAGCTCTGTGTTCCAGTTGGTGAGGTGGGTAGGGCTTCTAAGGAATTGACCCTCTGGCCTGGCCCTCTAATTGTCCTGTAGACTGAAACTCAAGGGAGGCAGGGCCAGAATATCTTCATTGGCACTGGGGATCAGATTAGGCCTGATTCCTGCCATTTTAATGCCCAGTACAAGACCCTCCTCTTGGAGTGAGACCTCTACCTAAGGTTCTGCCATGGAAAACATCCACCTAGACTGATCCGACCTGCAGACGTGGCTATAAATGGGGTGCAGAGTGACATCCATCTTTGAACATGTATAATCGTGACCCCCTCAATCAGTACAGAGGTACAGTCATAGGCACAATGAAGTGCAGGTGGAGAGACACTCAGGACCTCGCATGGGGAATCAGAGCTGGGACATTAGCTGTTGTATTGTGAGGTTCATGGTAGATCAGGGTCCTCTGGATAGACCAAAGGTGCCACAATGGGGGATTCTGGTTTTACAGACCAGCTCTGAACTCCTTCTGGACCATCAGAAGTCAAAGGTTATTTCCGTGGTCATTGGAATGGTAACTGTAGGTGCCTAGATACCATGGTGATGGATGGGGGAAGGAGACCAAAGCCCTGAGTTAAGTGGGGAAGTGGGATACCGGGAGGAAGCATGAGCTGGAGAGCACGAGAGGGGAGGGCTCCTGTCTCATACTGAGAAGGAGGGATGATCAGCGATTTATCTTAAGTGCCTATACACAAATGCAAGAAGCCTGGGAAACAAGCAGGGAGAACTGGAAGTCCTGGCACAGTCAAGGAATTATGATGTGACTGGAATAACAGAGACTCGGTGAGATAACTCACATGACTGGAGCACTGTCATGGATGGATATAAACTGTTCAGGAAGGACAGGCAGGGCAGAAAAGGTGGGGGAGTTGCATTGTATGTAAGAGAGCAGTATGACTGCTCAGAGCTCCGGTATGAAACTGCAGAAAAACCTGAGAGTCTCTGGATTAAGTTTAGAAGTGTGAGCAACAAGTGTGATGTCGTGGTGGGAGTCTGCTATAGACCACCGTACCAGGGGGATGAGGTGGATGAGGCTTTCTTCCGGCAACTAAGGGAAGTTACTAGATTGCAGACCCTGGTTCTCATGGGAGACTTCAATCACCCTGATATCTGCTGGGAGAGCAATACAGCATGCAGAGACAATCCAGAAAGTTTTTGGAAAGTGTAGGGGACAATTTCCTGGTGCAAGTGCTGGAGGAACCAACTAGGGGCAGAGCTGTTCTTGACCTGCTGCTCACAAACCGGGAAGAATTAGTAGGGGAAGCTAAAGTGGATGGGAACCTGGGAGGCAGTGACAATGAGATTGTAGAGTTCAGGATCCTGACACAAGGAAGAAAGGAGAGCAGCAGAACATAGACCCTGGACTTCAGAAAAGCAGACGTTGACTCCCTCAGGGAACTGATGGGCAGGATTCCCTGGGAGAATAACATGAGGGGGAAAGGAGTCCAGGAGAGCGGGCTGTATTTTAAAGAATCCTTATTGAGGTTACGGGAACAAACCATCCCGATGCGTAGAAAGAATAGTAAATATGGCAGGCGACCAGCTTGGCTTAACAGTGAAACCCTTGCTGATCTTAAACACAAAAAAGAAGCTTACAAGAAGTGGAAGATTGGACAAGTGACCAGGGAGGAATATAAAAATATTGCTCAAGCATGCAGGAGTGAAATCAGGAAGGCCAAATCACACTTGGAGTTGCAGCTAGCAAGAGATGTTAAAAGTAACAAGAAGGGTTTCTTCAGGTATGTTAGCAACAAGAAGAAAGT